AAGGTGCTTTGCAAGAGCAGTTTATATTCAGTAACTCAGTGATTCTTGGAATTAGGTATTTAGGCTTGGGCTGCCGCACTGGAAAATGCAAAGGAAATTGGGATTAAATGTTCCATATATTGGCTTTTCCCTTTTTTTCAATGACCAGAACTCCTTACACTGCTGGATATCCTTTCAGCAAGTAACCCCAAGAAATCCCATCCAGGACTTGTGAACTTGCTGGGCTGGGGAGAAGAAGAAAGAGTCATAGGACCTAATGGGCTATCAGCAGGACAGATAGCTAATCCCCAAGGAATGTGTCTTGGCCCCATAGAGTAAGTGCTCCAAGACAGATTCAATTTAGGAATTTTGTAATTCTAATATATATATAATTAAATACTTTATTTTACATATATTTATGTTTATATGTAAAATATGTATTTTTATTTTACATGTATTTTACATATATATCTTTATTTTACACATATATCTATATATGTAAAATATATATCAACATATGTATCTATATCATATTTTACATATGTAATTTACAGAGAGAAAGATCCAGCCATCGCTTTACTCCCCAAATGGCCAAATGACCTGATCTGAGCCAATCCGAAGCCAGGAGTCAGGGGCCTCCTCCCATAAGGTGAAAAGTCTCATGGCTTTGAGCCATCCTCACTGTTTTTCCAGGCCATAAGCAGGGATCTGGATGGGAAGTGAAGCAGTTGGACATGAACAGGCACCCATAGGGGATATAGGCACTTACGGGCAGAGAGTAGCCAATTGAGCTGTCACCAGCACTTGCTAATTCTAAAATTAAGTATACGATATACTTAGCACATTTGAGCAATATCAATTGTACTAACAAAGTTTACGAATAAAACAAAACTTTAAAGAAATTTGATCTTACCTAACATTTCTTACAAATTTTGACCATGAAATAACTTTTTACTAAAATACTAATTGTGACCTAACATATCATTATTTCTTAGAATATACGTAGGATTATGTTTGCATAGATTTTTTTTCTTTGAAATCACCGGTTCTGAGAGAGGAGAAAGTAATTTTCATAGGAAGTATAAAGAGTAATCCAGAACTGTCTAGAGGCATTTTTCGCTATTTCACAAGAGGATGTTACCATCAGCTTCTAAGGCAAAAGTGAGAGTGACACTAGTAATGGTACTAGTGATAGTACTAGTAATAGTACTAGTACTAGTAATAGTAATAGTTCCTTGGTTAAAAATTCTTAGTTCAGATACAACACGTTCAAATGCAGCTTAGGTCAAGACTTTGAGCCTGTGAGCTTGCACTCTACCTGCCCCAGATTTTATCACCTGATTTTAGCCACACAGACCCACTCACTTCTTTGTGAACTAACAGACATTTGATAATACAGTTTCAATTTGCCTTAGACAAATCTGAAATGAGCATTTTTGAACTATCTGCCTGAGTTACTGGTATGTATATTCTATAATACACTGTTATAGGCTATACAATATAATCATATTCTGAATATTATAGGTGTATTTTAGTGCTCAGTAATCTTAAATGCTTTATATAAAACTGCACTGATAATAAACAGGGTTGTAAGTATTATAAAGATACCTTCTTGAAGATAAGGGCACTTGGTCTGAGAAATGCTACTTAATTCTAGTTTGGGCAAACAAGGACATGAATCCAAGCCCTCAAAATATGCAATGACTTTTCCATTACCATTATATTATATTGCTTCCATTTTTTTCTTCAGACATAATTTCATGTAGGTGGCATGGGAGAGAAATTTCAATGCCATAAATATTAATGGATTGGATTTGTATTCCGAACTGCTTGTGTTTACTCTAAATTTTTCATTTGAAGCTGCAAAAGGGTCAGAATTTTTATCAAACTGTAAGAGAAACTTGTCAGTTGTTTCTCACAGTCTTTTGTCAGTCTCAAACATACTTAGCAAAATCAGATGGAATTCCAGGATTCTTTGTTTGGCCTATCTCAGACCAGGCTGTTGTAGCCATTTGTGTACTGAGCCAGTGCATAGAAGATCTCTGTCTTTGAGTGTATTTATCTTACTCTTTCAAGAAAGTAAATGAATCTAAAAAATACTCTTTTACTCCTAACTTTCCACATTAGAATAAGGGTGCAGGAAATGATGTTGTTTCAACATCAGTAAAACACTTATTGTCAGAGAACATGTTTACTTATCAAAGGGCTGGGGGGGTATTAAACCCACCCACAGTTAACAATTATCCTCTTCAGATGAATTCAGATGTTACTCTTTTTAGAAATGATATGTTTATGTTAAAGAAACAATTGAGCTAAAGGACTATTCATTGTTAGCTATATTTGAACTTCATAAATTCCTTTGCAATTTGAAAATGCACAGATTATTTCTGGAGAATGCCAAATAAGTCCCCAGAATAACTAGTTATATCCATGTGTGATTACAATGTATTTTTGTGCCACAACAGATGGTTGTGTTTAAAAAAAAAACTAAACAATTAAAATCTATTAAAGATCAGTAGCCCTATCTGTGAAGATTATGAAATACTTTTTAATTCTTGCTCCCAATCCAATACATTTGTCCAATTTCTTTTACCATTCACCAACTGGCAATAAAATAAATGTGTTTATATAATGCTTTTGTTCAATCTATAAACGTGCTGTTTGTAAATCAATGCTGACCCAAATTATTCTAGGCAGATTAAAACATTCAGAACTTCTTCCTTAAATTACAAGTTAGCTCAAATGTAAATGGAAGACCACCAGTTAGTATCAGCAGCAACGACAAACAGCCCACTTCACGATCATTGCAGCATCTACAAATCAAAGGCATAATGGAATCAGAGAAGTCTAAACCAATTTACGAGAGCATTGGTTTAATTCTAGACAACCCAGTTGTGCTTTTGTACTGCCATGAAGTTTCCATGATCCTTTGCACATCATATTCCACCTTAAGACATGAATGAAACATTTAAAATTTAATCATGGTCAGCAAAGGTTTACCTACTGTTTGCTATCACATATTCTTCACCAAAAGCAACTCCACTATAGTATAGCTAGAATAACCATCATAAAACCTGTCATTTTCAGTGCCATGTCAGGATCTGTTTGCAAAACACACTCAAATGTAATTTCATGATTCAATAAGTTGTATGTAAGTCTACTATTATTGGTTTTTCATTTTCTTTTCAATATTACTAATTTCCATTTTCTCACTGGTAGTTATCCTGCCTATTCAAATGTCATTATTTCCTTCTATTGTTATTCAAATGGAGCCTTCTTATTAGGGCCAGTGACACTTTGTATAAGGCTTTGCTTCTTTAACAGCAATAATTCCATTTCTGAAGGAAAATGGAAATGATTGCATGCACAATTCTGAGCTTTCACTTTATGTTAAGTCAACATCGCCAAAAAGGAAGGTTTTAATTTAACCATATCTGTAAAGACCAAAAGGTTTTTATTAGCTACACCTAGGAAGCAAATAAAATAGCTTTTTCCATAGAGGACTTTTTCAGTTCAAAAGAATCCACGAAACCATTACTTCTATGCAATAATGTGTAGAATATACACTCATACACAAAATTAAATTTTAAATTTCTGGAATCAGATCTTATTCCCCATTTGTGTGTACTTCTCCCTTGAAAAACAAACAAAATCTCATACAGTCAAAACGTCACCTATGAATTACATAATTATACAAGTGGAAGGCCCACAACTTTAATTCCATTTTGTGCTAATGTTATGATTCATGAAAGAAAGCTATGTTATCAAAACTAGGTCATAGATCTTAAAAATAAATCTTCATATACTGCGGCAAATTACATATAGCCAACTAGTATATCTCTTACAGGCAATCAGACTTTAAAACTGAACCACTTTTGTACACTACCAGCATTTTTTTTCCTTTAATTTACAGAAATACAGTATTTTCTACTGTTGTAACCCGAGATCTATTCTCCAGTAGAAAACCAACATAATATCAGCATAAGTTAAGATATTATGACACTTTGCATAGGAACTAGAACTCCTTGGATAAGGTGATAGCAATCTCCAGGTTACTAGAATGTATTATAAAGTGGCGTGAAATGTCAACATGACCAGGTACAGAGCCTAGCCATGATGCATTGGAAGATGAAGTTTGGCATGAAATCCATAGGGCTTGTAAATATTTAACTGCTAATACTGCTATTCTGCAAGTGAGTTAAAAAGAACTTCAGGAGTTTACTAAGAATTGCTGAGAAAAGTGTAATTATATGAAACAATTCTACTGTAAATGTGACCCATCAAGTAATTACAAATGACCAAATCTACTTCAAAAACCCAGTGTTATACAGCTTATAAAAAGAGGTCCAAATTCCATAGAAGCATTACAAACATGACCACATGTGGATCCTAAAACCTCAATAATGACTTCACAGCCATCTCTGCTGGCCTCTATTCCAAAAATGTCCCAGGAAATGTGTAAGTGATTTACAATTATGACCTCTACAATATTAATCTGTATTTCCAAAATAGCTGCAGAAATATTGACCGATCCTTTACCTAGAGTTACAACCATCCCTTGCCCCCAATGTGGAATAAGCTGAAGGCTCTCACAACTACACAGCAAGATTAAGATATCTTCCTATAACAAGAGAAGTGGAAACATCTAAGTAGAAACATTCAGCAATTTAATTAGAGAAAATACCCATCTTTAAGTAGACAGGCATTAAATTTTGGGTTCTAGTTCCCACAACGTTCTAAGTTTGCCATGTGATCTTGGGATAATTACTATAACTCTTCATCTTGTTAAATCTCCCTGTTCTTTTCTGCTCTCAGCAGAGTTTGGAAACAAGGTCAAATTGGGCACTGTTCTTCTTTAATCAAAATAAACACAATTTCTAGGCAGCCTCTGGTGATTCTTGCATCCAAAAGTGCTTCTGGTACTCACTGGAAGAAGAGACTGTTTTCAAGTCATGGCTATAGTTGAGGTCAAGAATGCAGAGGCTACACCATCCACAAGCAAGAACATGAACTTAACTTACCTCCAGAGACTTCTATGTTGCTCCTCTAGTTGAGTTAGCAGATGTTCAATGTATTTATTAGAGTCCATGTATTCCTGCACAAAAGATAATTAAAACTCATGACAACAGTCACCATAATTGTAAGACTCTTGATCCCTGCAAGGAATATTTTTTGATTAGTTAATCCCGGCATCATTCCAAGTTCCACAGTTCTAAGCTTTATCAGCATAGCTACTTGGGGATAAGTACTTTTCCCCCATATTCTGATCAATGTATCATCATGCCACTGAAATGTTACTGTATCTACATAAAAACGCTAATTACACACACACACACACACACACACACACACACACACACACACAAAACCCTACATTTTAATCATCTACCCTTAGGACCATGTAATTTACTTTATAAAAGTATGTGCAGCAAAGTTGTTATAGAGAGTGAAATAAGAATAAAACACATGGAAGCAGCAATTTTGTTTAGCTCTTAAGGCACCCATATCCCCTATTATAATGCCTGGGTTTAATACTCAGTTCTAGCTCATGGGCCTAGTTTCCTGCATTTGCAGACCTGGGAAGCTCAGCAATTGTTCAAGTGATTGATACCAGCTTATTGTATGCAAGACCTGACTTTGGTTCTCAGGCTTGGCCTGGGCCAATTCCAGCCATTGCTGTCATTTTTGGAGTGAACCAGCAAATGGAAGGTCTAATCTCTTTGTGTATCTGCCTCTCAAAATAAATTAACAATACCGTTCTTAATTTTAGTGATTTTATTGCAATCATTTTTCGATAAAAACACTATGGAATACATTTATACATTCCACATTCACTGCACACTTGGTGCTCCCTGATAGACAAATTCATTTTCTGTCCTCTTCACATGGAAACCAGATGGTGTATTTTGCTTTTTCCTTAGTCTTAGAATGTATATCTTTGATTCTAAAGTGACATGAAAGATTAGGCACATTCTGTCTTATGAAAATGTGTACAAACATTGATATCTACAAAGCAAACTTTCAAAAAATATGCCTGTAAAGTGGGGAATTTGTTGCATGGGAATCTTACAGAACAATCCATAGATTATTGCATCTGAATCCTTAGTGATTCTTCAGTATGCGGTTCATATGCACTACAGGAACAATTGCTAACATGTAGCAAATACAAGGGTGTTTCAACAACCTCATAAAAATGTGTATTATGAAAACCATCACAACCTCAAAAAAATTTACAGGACAATAAATTTGCCTGATCATTCCATTTACCATAAACTTTTGTTGAGCAACCACATGTGCGGTCATGGTTCTCAACATTCCAATCAAGGCTAAATTTTAGTTTGTAATGCCAAACATGATCAGAGGTTTTAATTCTCAAATATATTCAGCTGAAAATCTTGAGACTTTATTTTTCAGTAGAAACAGGTCTCAAACTCATTCATACATTCTTCATTTGACTTTTATTCTCAATTCCACAGATATAGTACTATGAGAAGACTTCAGCCTCCAGAAGCTTACAATCTGTCATGAGAAACAAGACGTCATCTCACATTTCAGATCCATTACATGCTAGCAACAGTGATAGCGAAGTGATAAATAAGGGAGGTGGCTACTTCCCCTGAAGTCACTCGGAGAGGACCCTGAGGCAGTGATGTCTGAACTCAGAGTGGCAATGGAGGCCACAGGGAGATAAAGGGTCAGATACAGGCAGGCCAAACAAGCAGGATCTGCAAAAGCCCCAAGACTATTCTCAACAGAAAGATAAGGAAGCCAACGGGGAACAGCAACACTAGTGTGTGGAGTCTAAATTGAAGTAAGAGAGTTAAGTAGAGAACAAATCACATGCAAGCCTTGGAAGCCAGTTTGGATTAAAGTCAGTGGATTTGACACTTTGTTTATTCTTATTTTCTCAAGTCAGATGCTGAAGTTGAAAACCATAATGATGACATGCACACTCTTTGGATGAAAGACACTGAGGCACAAATTCAGGTTTAGATTTTCCCCCTAGGAAAATTATTTAATCTCTAAGTCTTGATTTCTTCAGCAGAACAATGATAATACTCAACAGGTGTGGAAGTGTTATAAAGATTATATAGTGTTATCAAGTGTATCACATCTTGAATACCAAATAGTAAGAGTAATCTTTTTCAGAACATGATTCAGAAAATTGAACCTGGCTTATCGCTGTATTTTCAGTTTATATCTTGGGGTGGCTCTCGTCAGCACAATTGTGCTTCAGAGAAGAACATGTAATAAGACCCAGTGTAGTGGCACTGATCTGGTCACATAGATTCAAATCTACTTTTCAGTGTCTCAATCAAATTCCCAGCCTAGGGAGTTGCATACTCACCGACGCTTCTCTCACATTTGTGGCAATAGTACTCAGTATGTGTATAATGATATTAATGAAGACTAACTAAACCTTACTGTAATCTGGAAATCTGTGATCTCAAAACCCTCCAATTTTACTGATGTTCATTTTTGGCATCTGCAACATGTCATCTACAAAAAAACATCATTTTCCCAAGCTTGCTTCATGCAGCACATCTCATTCAGTGCAAAAATATGTTAAGACCTAGTCTATTTTTTCTAGTAATTACAAAACTCAAATTAAGTGTAATAACAGAAGATATAATGAAAATACATATAGTCTCATGCAGGACAAATTTAATCTAGTGAAATTAAGATAATGTATAAATATGAAAATCAATAGAGATCAACACCAAGTTAGAAAATTTAGGTTTGTCTAACAATTATGTCTTTTGAGCATGTGAACATATGGTAACAAACATTAAATAAGGGATAATTAAAGAAACATTTTAGGAAAGAAAAAAGGATTTCATTCTGTGAAAGTTTATATATTTCTGATAGCATCAATGGGAAACAATCGCACATCCACTTGTTTAAGAATTGAATATTAAAAAAATGAAAATAATAAAGGCTATAGGCATGCAGACTTTTTAACCAAAAATCCAAAAAGATCCACTCTAGCACTTCTATCAATGCTAAATCCTCAAACCATCATTGAAATTACAGTCATAAATTATAAGCAGTATCCAGTTAGTCAGTTCCTGTCTCAGAGAGACAGAAAAAGACAATCTCAGATATGCATGGTTCAAAAATTTAACAAATATTTCTTTAGTGAAAAATATGCATGAGAATTCAAATATGTCTGATAAATTTCTAACACAGGAATGAAATTGTATACCTAATTTTACATTAATGCGTATGGACATTCCAACACTTGAACCATGAATAAGAAATGTGGAATTCATAATGCATAGGAAAGCTTCAAAGGATGTTAAGACAAATGTAAGTTATAAATGAACATAAAACCCTAGACAGAAGGTTTATAATATTATGTATCTTTGTGATTCCCGGAGCAATGCCAGGAATCAAGTGAAGGAGGAGGATGCATAAGTCTTTCTGTACAGAAGACAAAATTTACTCTTCCATTATCAATGATTTAAAGAGACTTAAATATAAGGGTATGACTTAAGATAATGTACATGTTCTACAAACTTAAAGATTTATTTATTTAAAAGGTATACTTACAGGAAAATATAGAGAGGAAAAAGAGACCTTCCATCTGTTAGTTCACTCCCCAATGACCACAAAGGCCAGGCCAAACACAGGAGCTTCACCCAGGTCTCACACTTGAATATGGAGGCCAAAGCACTTGGACCACGTTCAGCTGCTTTCGCAGGTGCATTAGTGGAAAGCTAAATAAGAAGTGGAAATGCCTACAACTGTGCTCATATGAGATGCTGGTATTTCAAAGGGCAGCTTAACCCATTAGGCCACCATCCCAGCCCCTATTTGACCTTTAAACAAAGCCTTCATGTAGTTGGAGAAAGCTACATGGTGATGTATGCTGTGAATTCAAAATGCCTTTTGATTTACATGTTTCATATCTAAAAAGTATACATAGAAAGCAATCAGATGAAAGTTAATGATGGTCATCAAAATTTTATTGTTTCTGATGATATGAAAACCTGGGTGTATATAAAACATTCAAAACAGTACACGGCATATAGTAAAATGGGTCTATTTTTTTTTCTGTGTATTTTACTTTTTTTTTCTTTTTTTTCTTGTTTCCTTAATATATCTGATGTAAAAGGAGATTTTAAGGGAGAAGCCCCACCCAGTCTCCCACCCACCCCATGTCCCAGATGTGGAGCATGCTCTCAGATACTTGCTCAAGTGGTTTTGATAGTTCAACAGTTCTGAATTGCTCCCACTCTCTCCACTCCAAGCACAATGCGGTCGTTGGAGAATCCACTGCTTGACATAGTCTATCATATAGTCTCCGTTGGCCCAGTATTTTCATTGCCAACATATAGCTGAGGTGGTTAATTAACTTGTTCTGTCCTCTGTCATTTGATGGTTAGCGTTCTGAGTCCGAAAGCTTGACTGGGGGGGATCCCCAAAGAAACTCTGTCTGTGGTATTCCCAGACCAGATTCTTGTATGTGCTAGCAAGCACAGGACCCGACACAGTCCATCACCCTGATCAGCTGGTGGTTGCAGTTGCTGGGTTGGTTCTGTTTCCATCCCTGTCTTCCACTGGAACCAATGAGTGTTTGAGTCCAGCCTGGTTCTACCCAGCACATACTCAGCCCTCACATAAACCAGTGGGAGCTGCAGTCCAGCCGGAGCGACCCACCATAACCCCAACCAGGCCCACCCCCTACCCTGGTTTGCCAGTATGTGTGGCAGACTAATACAGTCTGTCCCACACCCCTTCCTGTCTCATACATGTCAATGGGTATTAAAACCTTGTTCCATCTAACCAGCTCAACTATCCAGCCTTCACGGATGTTGTTGGGTGTCTAGCCACCTCAGCCCCTGTCCTAGTTTTCATGCCCTCCCATGGAGGGTGGTAACCCAAGAGGGAGGAGCCCACTATTTCCCTCCCAGGCCACTCCCACTCCCAGATTATGCACTCTCCAGGCGGTTCTGCGGTTTAACTTGACAGAACTAGCCCCCAGTGCCAGCTTCTGTCAGCTGATGCTGTGGCTCAGCCCCAACAACCCTCACCCACTCTAATTGTAGTTTGAACCAGTAGGAATAATCAGCCCAGCCTGGTTTTTCCCTG